TCCCCCCAAAGCCCCAGTAGATAGTTGTATGTCATAGGTTCACATCCTTCTAGTTGCTGTACGTGGGTCTCGGCCTCACGTTGGACGGAGAAGTGGTGCCTTGGGGCGTGCCCGGGATCCGAACCCGGGCCGCCAGCATCAGAGCGCACGCACCTAACCGCTAAGCCACGGAGCCGGCCCCGGGGCCTAAGATTCTTAAACTTGATAATCTGCCTGTTATTATTTATTTTCTAGTAATATTAGGACATGTTTAAAAAATTAGATTATTTTAACTATGCTAAGTCTGTCCTGAATTTTCAAGCTTTTAAATTTATCTTGCTACCTTTCCTGAGTTTCAAACTCTTTTTCTTATATTATGCAATTTTTCCTTCCCAATGTAAGATATCGTACTGTGCATTTATGTCAAGGTTTATAGTATATAAATCCATATGGTCCTCCCAGTTAGTATTGTCTTGATCAAATACCAAAATTAAAATTTTTTTTACGGGGTATCTGTGAGAGAAGCAATTAAGGATTTTATCTTATTTTAAGTAAGCCTCATCTTTCTACATATACCATGCCTGCCTTTGGCTAGGATTTTTCTAGGTTTTCTCTTAGATGATTCAGGACATGATGGGCCTAGAGGCCATGAAGGAAAAGCGTGGTTTGAGGTTCCCTCTAGTATACCAGTTCTATCTTAGGGACCAAAATGATTTAACATAAATTGAACAGAGATAAGGCCCTCTCCTTCCTAATTTTGGGGGTAAGGAGCATCTATAGATAATCAGTATAGCCTGGGGACAAAAATAGTATGTGGAAAAAAGGAAAAAAAAAACTTTTTAAGAAGTAGAGAGGGTAGCACAGAGGTTAGAAAATAATAAAAGCTTTTTCTGAACTGAAACCAGCCCAGGGATGGAGCTTTGCCTAGGAGTCTCCTTGTAGGACATAAGGAAGGGTGTGGAAGTACCGTATCAAGGGGTCGTACCGTGTGGACTCTTGTTTTTGTGCTGTCTCTCCTGTTTTCAGGGATCTCTGTGGCTCCAGGTCTTGCCAGGATTATGCCCAAATGTGGAAATAGGATTCCAGAATTTGGAAATTTTTGAAACATGGCTTTTGCCCTTTACTAAAAAATAGCATGCAGGAAGAAATGAGTTATTCAGAGGTATATTACTTAATTTCCAAAAATTTGGACATGTTCTAGATCTTGTTCTATTATTGATTTTTAATTTAATTCCATTGTGGTCAGAGAAAAAATACTTTTATGACTCTCCTCTCTTTCAAGGTATTGAGACTTGCTTTATGGTCTAAATGTGGTATAATTTGCTAAATATTCTCTGTACTTGAAAAGAATATGTATTCTACTATTGTTGAGCATTTTATAAGGATGGTAGGTCAAGTTGGTTGATATTACGTTCAAGTTTTCTCTATCCTTGCTCTGTTCTACTTGTTCTACCAATTATTGTGAGAGAGAGATTGAAGAGTCTCTGACTGTAATTATGGATTTGTCTATTTCTCCTTGCAGTTCTATCAGTTTTTGCTTCATCAATTTTGAAGCTTTGTTATTGGGTATATAAACATTTAGAATTGTTATAGTTTGTCAATTAATTGACCCCTTTGTAATTGTAAAAACCTTCTTGATTCCTGGTGATATTCTTTGGTCTGAAATCTACTTTGTCTGATATTAAATAGCCACTTCAGCTTTCTTTTGCTTAGGGTTACATGGGTATATCTTTTTCCATTCTTTTACACTTAATCTGTTTGTGTCTTTATATTTGAAATGTGTTTCTTGTAAGAAGTAGATGGTTGAGTCTTACTGTTTTATCCAGTCTAACACTCTCTGCCTTTTAATTAAGTTGTTTAGACCCTTCATGTTTAGTATGATTATTGATATGGTTGGGTTTAAGTCTGTCGTCTCACTCTTTGCTTTCTATTTGTTACATCTACTCTTGGTTCCTTTTCTCTCTTTTTCTGCTTTCTTTCAGATTGAGTATTTTTTTGATTCCATTTTTTCTCTTTGTTGGCTTATTAGCAATAACTTTTTATTGTGTTATTTTAATGGTTACTTTTAGGTTTTAGTATATATCTTTAACTTATCACAGTCTACCTTCAAGTGATATTATACCAATTCACATATAATATAAGACCCTTACAGTAATTTACTTCACTTCCCTCCACCTGCTCTTTATGCTATGATTGGTGTCATATGTTTACTTATTCATATGTTATTCACCCTACAATACATTGCTATTATTTTTGTAAACAGTCAAATATCCTTTAAAAATATTTTAGTAATAAGAAAAAAGTTATGTATTTGCTCATGTAGTTATTATTTATGGTGTTCTTCATTACTTTGTGTGAATCCATATGTTCATCTGGTGTTATTTTCCTTCTGCCTGAAGGAAGTGTGCTGGTGATGTACTCTTCCACCTTTGGTGTCTCTGAAAAAGTCTTTATTTTGCTTTCATTTTTGAAAGATATTTTTGCTGGACATAGAATTCTGGGTTGATGATGTTATTCTTTTGGTAGCTTTAAAGCTGTTGCCTCACTATCTTCTTGCTTGTTTTGTTTTCAATGAGAAATCTGATGTCATCGTTATCTTTTTTTGTGCATAATGTGTCTTTTTTTTCTTGACTGCTTTTAAGATTTTTTTCTTTATCACTATTTTGGAACAATTTGATTATGATGTGCATGGACGTAGTTTTCTTCATATTTCTTGTGCTTGAGTTTTGTTGAGCTTTTTGGACCTGTTGGTTCATAGTTTTCAACAAATTTGAATTTTTTTCAGCCATATTGTCTTAAAATATTTTTTCTGTCTTCTCCTCTCTTCCCTTTCCTCCTGGGTCTCCAATTACACATATATTAGCATGGATGAAATTGTGCCACAGCTCACTGATGCTCTTTTACTTTTTAAAAATTCTTTTTCCTCTCTGTGTTTTATTTTGGGTAGTTCCTATTGCTGTGTCCTTAAGTTCACTAATCTTTCAATCTTTTCCTCACAATGTCTAATCTGCCATAAATCCCATTCAGTATATTTTCATCTGAGACATTGTAGTTTATATATCTAGAAGTTCCTTTTTTTTGTTTAATCTTCCTTGTCTCTACTTTTCTTTTTGAACATATGTAATATTGTTGTAATAACTGTTTTAATGTCCTTGTTTGCTAATTCTAGCATTTGTGTTAGTTCTGGTTCGGTTTTTACTGCCTCTTTGTGTGCTTAGTAATCCTTGATTGATTGCCAGACATTGGATATTTTTGTTTTCCTGCAAGTTTTGTATTGTGTGAATATGCCACGCTTTATTTATCCATTTTACCCTTGGTGGGCATTTGGCAATTGTTAAGAGCCCTGCTGTGAATTTTCTAGTACATGTGCTTTGGTGAATGAACATGTATATGGATTTTCATTTAGTATGTGTGCCTGGGAATGTAATTGCTGGGTCTTAGGGTATTCCTATGTTCAGCCTTGGTATATACTACCAAATAGTTTTACAAAATAGTTGTGCCAATTTGTATTCCTCCTAGATGTGTATGAGGATTCTCCTTGCTCTCACCTCACCAGTACTTGGTATTTTTCCCTTTTTATAAGAGCCACGTTTTGATTTTAATTTGCATTTCTTTGATAATTAATGAAATTGAGCATATTTTCATAAATATTTTTCTGTTTGGATATGTCTTCTGTTAGATTATGTCTTTTTCTTCCTAACTCCTAGGTTTTTTTAATATGTTCTAGATATTAATCCTTTTTTGGATATACCTATAGGAAATGTCTTCTCCTACTCTTTTAGTTACTTTTTCACTCAATGTTCTTTTGAAGAACATAGTTTTTAATTTTAGTATAGTCTGGTTAACTTTTTTACCTCCTTATGGTTAGTGATTTTGTGTTCTCTTTAATAAATCTTTGCTTACTTTAGGACAAGAAGATGTCTTTCTAGTATTTTTTTTTTTTTTTTAAAGATTTTATTTATTTATTTATTTTCCCCCCAAAGCCCCAGTAGATAGTTGTATGTCATAGGTGCACATCCTTCTAGTTGCTGTATGTGGGACGCGGCCTCAGCATGGCCGGAGAAGCGGTGCGTCGGTGCGCACCCGGGATCCGAACCCCGGGCCGCCAGCAGCGGAGCGCGCACACTTAACCGCTAAGCCACGGGGCCGGCCCCTTTCTAGTATTTTGAAGCTGTCATTTCTTTGCTTTTCCCTATGGTTGTTTTTAAGAACAACGCTTTGTTTTTGGTATGGATTTCATTTTATTCTACTTGAAATTCTTATCTTTCTTAAAATCTGAAAAATTTTGCCACTTTTAATTACAGCTGTTCCCCATTCTCCCTATTCTCTGCTTCTGCATCTCTGATAAATCTTTCTGTTAGATTTTTCTTCTTGTCTCTGAAATTCTTTGGTTTCTCATATTTGCTATTACTTGGTCTCTCTGTGCTATGTTCTGAGTAATTTCTTTAGTTCTTACTTCTGGTTCCTTAATTATCTCCTGAGCTGTGTATAATTTTCTGTTTAATCCTACATCAAGTTTCTGTTTGCAGTTACGTTTTTCATTTCTAGTAGTTCCATTTACTTTACTTTCCATTACTTTCATATGTGCCTGGTTAGTTTTAATAGTCTGTTTTCTGTTATTTGTCCAACTTTCAATACCCTTCTATTTTTTTAACGTGTATACTTATTTTATCCCATTTCTGATAATTGCAGTAGCTGTACTCTTTGAGGGTTTGTTTTGCAATTTGTTTTACTTCTGATTATTTCTCATATTAGCCTGTGTAATTGTGATTTTTGATTGTGATAGTCAGCCTTGACTAAGCTCTCAATATTACTAGCAGTTCTCTTCTATTTCCTTTATCAGCTTTCTTTCCAGTTCTTCGTAGTGGTTCTTTCAGACATTCCCATTCTTCATAAAG